ACGGTGTTATAATTTTGATTGAGATCATGAACCGATTAATGTTAGACCACCATTAAAAACCTGGAAGCACTGGATGGCCGTTTCGTCCTATTGTGGGACTCCTCAGCAGTGCGCATCCACGATCCCGCTCGCTGGATTCGAACCCAAGGCCTTCAGTCTCGCGCGCGAACGCAACTTTGTGGATTGGTTTAGGTTAGACATTAACACCATTGGATGCCTGCTCAGTGGTCCAGTAGGTTAAGTGAGGAGTCCCACAATAAGACGAAACGGCCGTCCAGTGCTTCCAGATTTTCAATGGTGGTCTAACATCAATCGGTTCATGATCTCAATCAAAACTTAACAATCTCCACAACCCATATACTGGTGTTATAATTGTCATGTTGTTCGAAATTATACTACATTACAGTCTCAGTCAGTTAGTCAGTTACAACGTAGGACCAGGCACATATTACACACATTACAGTATGAAAGAGGTCGGTGGTGTCAAAATTGATTATGTTAGACAACTGTAAAATTAATGATGGCATATTATTGGCTTATTGCTGTTTTTCCGAAATGAATCTTTATTCACTGATTATTTAGTGTTCATGGTAAATTAGGTATACTTATGCTAATTCACTTTATGATTAACTTCCATTATGCAAGTGAATTAACTGGAATAGTCTTCTATCGAACAATATATTGATTTTAATGTTTGTACTCATTGCGGATTAAAATATGTCTGTGAATTGATTTTATAAAGACTGTTTGATTTCCTTAAACAAAACCTCAATGTGGTTGGAAATATTCATCAGGAAACCCTAGAGGTCAGTTACAGCTTGAGTAGCTCAATGACGACGGTCCAAATCTCACGGAAACCACCAGTCCCCTCAAGATTCCATCTCCAGGTTAGTGACAACTAGCACAAAATCTAAGCCAAACAAAGTTTCCTAACTACCTGCCACCTAATATCATAACGCGATGTTCAGTCACTTAGACTAGCAGCCACATTGCAACCTGGTCGATAGAATTCGACCAGTATTGAAGTACCAGACAAACATGATATTGATCACTCCGTAGTGATTAATTAGCGTACATAGAAATATCAACAACTGTGTCCTATAACTCAATGATTTTGTTAGGTATCATGCCATTAGCATTGAGACCTACATATTTCTTAGATTCCATTCTATCTGAGTTCATCGGCCTACACATTATTGCGAAATATCATCAAAAACCAAACAGTTACATTTAGCAATTTCAATGACTTTTTTTTATATAAGTTTCCATATTTATTTCTTGAAAAATCTAAACTATTTGAATAAATTTAGAAATGTTATTTATGTTACAGGTTGGTGGTATATCGGGTTTTTTGCATACAAGTTTAGCTGAAGTACAAGCTGTTGTTGGAGCACATACAACTAGCCTAGGTGGAAATGCATTATTATCATATCACTTAAGTGAAGTTGTTGTTCTTCGACCAACTTCAAGAAATCAAGCCCAATGTTTGTTAAATGTTTGCGGAGATATGGCTAGATTAAATTGGGAAGAAATAACAAAGAAAATTCCTTAAATCTTTAAAAAATAAAAAACAATTTCAGTTGTCAATTTAAAACTACATATTTGCACAGTTACTGAAATTTTCAACAATTCAATTGTGAATTCGATTGGATTTACTTTGATTTTATTTAATCTGCATAATAAATAAATAAATATGTATATATTTCCTTACTGTCTTTTTGAATTCATCATTTTAAGCTCATTTCCACTAGTATATTGTATTGTGGTGCGTGCTACTTTTATTGATATAAGTAGTATGTGACGCGAGTTAAAAACGTAATGTCGGGCAGCAGAAGATGGGGGAAGATCAAGAAAGTAAGAGTGGGAACAATGCAATTTGTAAGAAAACCTATAAACAATGAAATGTGAGACAATGAATTGATGTTTGCAACAGGAACAGTTCAGGTTGATATGATGGATTGATATTTTGCAAATTAACGATTCGCTATATGGTTTTTCAATTTTACTAAGTAACTCTGTAATTTTGTGATGAATACATTCGATTGCCCCCCCATTCATGTTCTGTTCACTACAGTATTATAACTCTGTACTAATCAAGTCATTACTATTATGTGACTTACTTAATCGATGATCAAGCATCTTTAACAGGATATAAAGTAAGATACATATGTTTTTTCAAAATATAAAACATTAACAAACGAACGTGATTTGATGTTTACCAAAGGTATCATTCTCATTTTTCATTTTTGTGATATCGAAAATTACTTATCTCAGATTTCCTTCTATAATACAAATCTTGTTATAATCAACTCATTATTGGTAATCATGTACAAAATATTATTGTTGGATTGTTAAAGTCTAAACTGAATAAGACCTGAAGTCCAGTTGTTAGATGAATATGATTAGTAATAAAGTGAAAAACATGTCAGGAGGTGTGTTAATAATTGAAATAATGAAAACTTTTTTCTCATACCCTTTCATTATTGTTTAGACAAATTTACGAATACTATCAAAATTGTTTATTCGTTTTACAGTAGGCAAAAATGATAATTATACATATACAATCTGTATAATGATCAGTTCACTACTTGAATTACCTTTGTCCACATCATACAAGTTGATAAAAATGACAGTTTTTCTTTGTTTATAAAAGTGATTACAGTCAAATAAATTGATCAAAAACTAAATCCAAATTTCATACGAAAATTTAAATAAAAACGTTTGCTATTAACTATGGAAGTCAGGTCAAGACACTTACCTGTAGTCAAATCAGATCAGAACCATCAAGTATATTTTAATTTGATTGACCTATCCTATATAAAAATAATTGACATTTGCTTTGAATCTGAGTTTATAAAAATATTATCAGAATGGGTTTTGTGGCAACTTTAAAAATTTCAATAGTTGAAATCATGAGTCAATTGAAACTAGACCACCATGGAAACACTGGACGGCTGTCTTGTCCTAGTATGGGACTCCTCAGCAGTGCGCATCCATGATCCCGCGAGATTCGAACCCAGGGCCTATCAGTCTCACGCGCGAGCATGGATGCGCACTGCTGAGGAGTCCCATTCAGGAAGGAAACGGTCATCTAGTGTTTCCAGGTTTTCCATGGTGGTCTAGCTTTAATTGACTTATGATTTCAACTATTGAAGTTTATAAAAATGATCAATATATTTCAAAAAACCCTTAGGCTTCATTATTCGTTCATTCCGCATCTTTATCTTTAAAAAATCAACGTGACTAAGTGTTTCTCACAGACTGTTTTGGGTATTAGTATGGAAATACCTCGAAATATTTATCAAAATGTTCTGCCATATAATGAGCACTGAATTTACTAACCACCAGTGATCAGAAACTGTACGCTGACAATTCTTCGAAGACAACAGTACATCATAATCACTATCCATACTAAATTAAACATGATTTACCCTGAGTTACTTAGTGCCCCCCAACACAAAAACTTACGTATGTTACTTTTCAGTGTACAAAATACCAAATATAACCTTAGTTTTGATCAGAAAATCCCACTATTTTTCTTCCCAATTTAATATGCATATTTTCTTACTACCTCCAGGTTCATCATCATAACCTTTTAGTAGTAGTAGCTCAGCTAACATGTCTGCGTTACTATAAAGAGATACTGTACAAATTATAATTAAATATATAGCTAGAGCACTGTGAAAAAAATGCACTTATATTTGAGTCAGGCGCAAATATCATACTTAAACCGTTTTGATAATCTACTCGAATAAGTGCATTCAAAATCAATCTACAACATTATGAAGATGTAACTGTGTTTAACTATATTAATCCCACCATAGGTTGAACTGTAAATAAGTGATATGAATCAAAATATCGAAAATAATCTATCTTTATAATTATCGTAACGTCACATATAGAGAGAAACAAGATTAGAAATATCAACAAAATTCGACTGAATACAATGACATAGTACTATTTATAAAAGTATAACTGCCATAATATTCGAACCAAAATCTAATGGTTAATATCAATGGTTTAAGTCACTGAAAGATGATAAGTTTCTAATAAGAAAATTACAGATATGTCTAACTTAAGTTCAGAATTTCAAACACCTAATACATCTTATCCACTTTGAAAGTAAATCAAAGAAGCAAAAATTAACCTCATCATTTTTTATATCCGAACTAAAGAATATCCCTTATTTATTATACATCTTGGTGAGAATAACTGACGCGAAATCGGCATATACTTTTCACACAATGATATTAGAGTTAATTAGTCATCAAACACTTAAGCTGGCAATAAAATGTTTAATTCTGAGATGGTGAAGAAGATTTGTAGCTTAGATGGATGATTTTGATGAAGTTTTATTCTCAGCTGAATGATTTGGTCGTAGAGCTTATATGGTTCTTCTGAACGTCATCGAATTTCTCTACATGTGGTCCACAGTTTGTCTTGTATATCTCAATATTGAATGATACTTGTTGTATCTCCCAATAAAAGATACAACCAAAACAAACAAGTAAACATTAACAGGTTTAAAGTCAACAAGAACCAATCAACATCAAGGTATACAAGACAAGCTGTGAGCTACATATGGAGAAATGCGAACATTTCACTTCTACCTAAAAAGTTTATACTGATGATATCGTTCAGAAGAACATTGTGAAAACTCCACGACTAAATCAGTCATTTCAGAGAACAAAACTTCATGAAAAATATTTAATCTTTAATATTTGATTAACAGAATAAAACCAGTCTTGAATAAAAAGACAATATTATTATTATTATATTTAAATTTGTAATGTTTCCTACTTATAATTGGAAAACAAAATGAAAAAGAAAAGATTATCACTTTCTTCATTAAGGGAATATGAAAAATGTATAATTTATGTGTACCTAAATCAGTCTAGGTATATAAGATACAGTAAGTATATTAAGGTAAAGTGAAATGAAGTTATAAATAAGAACATTTGCAATGATATTCAAATGAATTATACTAAATAATAATGAAAGCACAAACATGACAAATATAAAGTTCTATTAATAAAGTGTAATACTTTAAATTGACTTGAAATGTTAAATAATTTAATGATCTAAAATGCGTAGATTTCCTGAAACAATTTTATTTTCTAATATTGAACCTGGTGGTATATTGATAAGATTACCAAAATTAGAAACTATAATCACTGTACCCTGAAAGAAAAGAAAAGAATTTTACACAAACGATTGTTTTGTTAAATTTGTTCTATAGAAGAAAAAGCAAATAATTGTTATCAATGTAGTCAGTAAATTAGTTATAACGTAGGATCAACCATATATGTTTATCGGTTCATGTTGACCCCCTGAAACAAACCAACGATGAACTCAAATAGATCATATTGCCATCACAATCATCGTTAGAGAGGGTCGATAGAAGATTGTTGCTCATTCTAGAATACTAGATTGGACTTCGACCATGCTCTAATACAGGCACGTATGTATCTGCTTGCATCTCACTGGACGCAGAAAAGTGACACTAAGAAGATCCATTAGGATTGAATTGAGTTATGAGAAAACCAAAAGTAGATTTCAGGAACAACTGAGGTCACACTTAGATAGTCCTGAAAACGAGGCTGACCCAGATGTTGCTTGGAAAGATATACAAACGGTAGTGACATCTGTTAGTGATTCAAGCCAAAGATTTAAAAAAAAAGGATTTCGTCTAAGTTTATTGCACTGGTTAATCCTCGTAAACTCATCCCATTAGGCTGTGAACACGATGAAGAGCGAAAACAAATCAGATCTAGGTTAGGCAAAAGTCTAAGAAACGACCATGAGCAGTGGTGGGCAACGAAAGCAAAAGAGATGGATAAGTCGGCGGCTGTAAGTAACGCAAGACAGATGAAAACTTGAATTTTACGGTTAGCATCATACACTGACCTTAGTAAGAAAACCGATAAAAATCAAGAGGCACTGGACATTTTGTTTCATCCTAGCATGTGGACTACTCAATGATGCACATCTAAAACCCCACTGCATATCAAACTCATGATTCTCAAATATAATGGCGAGTGTGTAACCTTTAGATCACTGAACTGCCATCCAATTGTTCATATATGTAACTCCAATTAATTTGCGTTATTGCATTACCACCTTTCTACGTCTTACTCACTTACGCCTGTTACTCCCAATGAAGCATAGGCCGCCGACCAGCATTCTTCAACCCACTCTCTCCTGGGCCTTCCTTTCCAGTTCTATCCAATTGTTGTACATTCTTCTCATGTCTGTCTCCATTTCTCGAGGTAATGTGTTCTTTGGTCTTACTCTCTTACCTTGACCTTGAGGATTCCATATGAGGGTTTGCCTTGTGACACAGTTCGGTGCTTTCCTCAATGTGTTTCCTATCCACTTCCATCGCTTCTTCCTCCGCTGGGATCTGCTTTGTTCTCTCACATGGTAGGTTCTTGTTGATAGTGTCTGACCAACGGATTCAAAGTATTTTGTGTAGACAACTTTTAATAAACACTTGTATCTTCTGGATGATGGCTTTAGTGGTTGTCCAAGTTTCCGCCCCAAACAGTAGAACTGTCTTGACATCTGTGTAGAAAATTCTGACCTTGGTGTTGGTTGACAGACAGTTGTTTTGAATTCCAGATGCTCTTCAATCGTAGATATGCTGTTCTTGCTTTGCCGATCCGCGCCTTCACATCTTCATGGGATCCGCCTGGAGACCCTCCAGGGGCTGCTGCCGGTCCCAAGCCCGGATAAAGGAGGGTTGGACATGGGGTTAGCGACCCCATCGCGTAGAAAACTAACTCGCCAAAAAACGCTTACCAGAAAAATTATTCAAACCTTTTTATGTCATTAGTGGATAAATGCCTCATAATCGATATGGTTGAACTCCACTGGCCACAACTTCACTTCAGACTTCCGAGAATCATTGTTTGACATAAGTCACTAATGAGCACAACCTCTCATTTAAAAAAGTTTGAAACTGGTTTATATTCTATTTCATTCGAAATAAATCACAGAGACTTTGTAACAGAAATGGAAATCTTCTAATGAACACTTTAAAAACAATATCTAGTGATCGAAATCATGTAAGTGTATTTCAATTGTCTCTTGCTCTCCAAACCCAAATTACTTGCTATTGTGCAAGTAGCAAGTTTGATGCGTGATTTTTCAAGCGGATCTGTTCTTTAAAATCTAGGTTTTACTGTGAATACCGTTCAAAATTAAAGGTAGATTAACATAGATTGATTAATCACGTAATAGTGATCAATATCCTGTTTCTCTAGTGGTCATTTAGTTCTGCAAATCTATTTCTATCAATCAAGTAATGATGTGGCCACTAGTCTACGTGACTTGATATGTTACTGGTTACTACTTGGTGATCAATTAACGTAAATATTTAAGTCTTATTGGTTAATCGTGCGCTGAATAGCTTATTAATAATATTTAAGAGAGTACCAATTTCCATAGGAATACAAGTACGTCTTATTAACGAGACCTATGTCCAAGGTATTTTTTACAATATCTCTAATCATCTAACATTAAGATAAACATACATCGACCCCATTACTTCTCATGTTCTCTCCTTTATTTACTTGTTTGCATCTCGTAAGATACTGTTTAGGAAAGTTCATACGGTTATCACTTGATTAAACATAATAGTATAAACCTTGTTTTCTTTACATAATACTATTAAAGTCCAGATTATATTTTATAAAAAATCAAAACAACTATAATACAGTTACTTTTAGTCTAAACATTACCTTTAAAACTACTCCTTTTCCAAAGTATACATCTCCTGATACAGTTAAATGATCCAATTCCAGTAGATCTGGTATACTTGTAAATCGACTTAAGAAATCTTTAACTTTTTTAAAATGATTACCAAGTTTTACTAAAGGCACAGATGGAAAACTTCTTAATGGAGACAATGATAAACTTCCACCATCTAATACATACAAATTAGACATTACTAATAATAAATCTGAAGTAGTTTTAACTGGTAAGAAACGACTTCGTGGAACATTAACACCTAAAAATAGATGATAATTATTAAGTTTATAAATGAAATAATGTAAGTAAAATTGTATCTTTGAAATGAAATCAAAATGTGTATATTATTAATCATGGGGTAAAGTGTACAATTTCTCCTTGTTAGAGAAAATTAACACTATAAAACTTCTTAGATATGATAATCCTGTTCTGTAATTACATTAGTTTATCCATGAATGAACTATTTTCATTTAAAGAATAACATGTATAGTCATATGATAGTTAATTTGACTAAAAATAAATTACCATCAAAGTAACTAATTATCTATCGTTTTTTTTTCTTCAAATCATTACAATCGACTCTCTAGTATTGTGGCATGTGCTACTTATATTGACATAAGTAGTATATGACGTTAGTCAGGAAAAGAATACCTAGCAGTGGAGAGACAAGAGGGTCGAACATTAAAGAATAGAAACAGAATGCAATTTGTATGAAAATGCAAGAACAATGAAGTCTGAGTCATTTTAAGACAATTGATGGACATTTTGCAAATTAAGCATTTACTATATGATTTTTAGATTTTATTAACAGGTACTGTAATTTTCTGTCAAACACTTTCGTTTGTCCCTACTGGTGTTGTGTTCACTACAGTATCATCATTTAAATATAACTTATTAACTATATTTAAAACACATCGCCCATCTCATTTTACATTCCGTATAATATTCGTGGACCGAAATACCTGATCTAAATAAATAGTGGGTAAGTCGGAATAAGAAGACGAGTTCATATATTCTTTAATCCATAGTAGCATTTTATAACATTAATTTTATTCCAAGTGAAATTTTGATCAGTATGATATTGGTTTTATATTTTCCAGTGTAACATTACTTCACTTTAATATGTGTGTACCAATTAAGTGTTTATTTCATTCAGTATAACAAGTGTGAACTTTTGATCTAATATGACCATTATATTCTATGTATTATTATGTGTGAATTTTGTATGTCCTTTATAGTAAACTTGGTTAACGTTTCATTTATATGGTGTTTACTAACTCATTATCATGTTCATTTAAAATCAATGTGTAAATAAGCGTCCCTAGCTTAATGTTGGTATGATTTTAAATGACCTATTTTGATGACTTGTTTTCAGTATTTTTCATGTTCATTTCTATCAGCTTTTTTGTTTTTACTTGGTTCCTATTTCCAATCATAAGTAATAGGATCATAGATAGAAAGGGGCAAGCAATTACATAACAGATGGCATCCTCAACACAAACATAACAACGGTGAATGTTTTAATTCGTAAGATATAATGTAAAATATCAAGTAATTGATTCTCTGAGTGATCAATAGTCAAGAACATTATAACCATATATATATATATATATATATATATATATATATATATATATATATATATATATATATATATATATATATATATATATATATATATATATATATATATATATATATTCATTCTTACCAAAAGCACCATTAAATGACTTGATAGCAGCTCCTGCAGCCTCTTCTAATTGTAATATATTTGTACCGGAATCTAAAGTTTTAGGATTGACTATAATTTCCATTTGTAAAGTTTTTTGTTTAACACTACGATGTAAAGCTTGTAAATCAATCCAAAGATTATTAGTATTAAATATTTTAAATGTTCGTACACTAGCAAAATCATCCACATGTTCTTCAGGAACCTACAATTCAAATGAACATTTTAAATAATGATGATATGTTTTTCATAATGGAAGTGTAACTTCTTTTTTTCTCATCATATTCACATTTTATAAATATATAATCATCAAATAAAATAAAAATTATACCTGAGCTAATTCTAAAAGTCTCAAATGTCCACGATATTGGGTTAATGTACCACCTTTAACATCAGCTCGTGTTTTATCAGTTACTTCCATAACAAACTCTGGTGATTGTTTATCATAATGAGATTCTTTATTCATTAAAAAATTTAAAATATCTTTAAAATACATATAAAAATTAAGGAAAATAGTTTTATAAAATATTTAAATTTAGAATAAAATGAATTCATAGATAACAAGTTGTTATTCTCTATTTATATTTTATAGAAAACAAATTATAAAAATGAAGTTATTTATCTGAACAGTTCGTAACTTGGTGTAGTCGACTTCTTCAGTAACCCAACCATTGTTGCTACCTTGATGTGGTAGTCAGGCTTGCCTATCGTGATAAACCAATCGAGCTATACTGGCTGGAACAATCGTTCCTCAAGAACCTATCATGCCAAATAGGTCGGTTGAAGAGCGGTAAGACTAAAAGCAGCAAACCAAAGATCCGAAGGCAAAGTCGTACTGTTGACTGTACAGAGGCTTGGTGGTAGTAAAGTGTTTCCTTCAAAAAAAAACAGCATAACAGTGATGCTGCCTTTCCACAAAGAGCGGTGAGATTAGAAAAGGTCGACTGTATGGTTAATTTAACATGTTATAAGTTATTTACCCAACAATTTGGTTTTTGCAGGCTTTCTACAACAAACATTGGAAATGATTAGAATTTCAGTTGCTGACGTTACCTTGAACATAAGTTTTATGCCACCGACTGCCCCGACGTGCGATGTTTTATGGTGTAGGAGTAAGTTGGAAGAAAGATAGGGGCGGCCAGAACAAAACATGGCACAAATCCATGAAGTCATTGACAAGTGGACTGAGTCATGTTGATAGGTGTAGACTACCTGGTTGGGATCCGCGAGATGATAGCAACTGATGGTTAGAGACCTTGAGAATGACATGGCTCAAAATCGTTTACAATGGCGCAGGTGCATCCACTCTTTGTGTTCTCCCAAATGCTAATATTCTGAATCCTCGTCTCTTTTTTTTCTCTCCTCAAAGTTATTTCATTGGATTATACTCATTGAATAACAGCTTCAAACCATAATATTTCCGATTACTGCTTATAATTTTACTACCTCTACCATTATGGGATTTGAATCGACAATTGTGTCTGTGTGTTAATGTTGTATGACAACTCGAAATGATGTACGTACATACGAAGTTCTACGTTGTTAATGGCGGACTGACTGACTCATTTTTATCAAGCTGTTCTTTTAAATATTGACGAATATTCACCTAAACTTTATCTATAACGTGTCGAATAAACTTAGATAACTTAGATTCAGGAAAACTTGAATACGATACAAATAACTTGTATTAAAAAACATTTAAATAACTACCGTCATCAAGAAAGGATACTTAGATCAACAGTTGCTCCAAGATTATCAATATTAGACAAGAAAACCCATTGTTTACCAATAGCTATCATTTTCTCTGCTAATCCACAAGCAACAAAACTACGATAGAAATCACCATGTCCAGGAGGATACCATTCTTCAGGATTATAGTTCATATCTTTAGAAGTCTTTGTTCCAGAATCATGACTTTCCTGACCAGCACATTTAGCAATAGGAAGTAATGACTCACGATTCAGACGAGGATAGCTAAACGAAGCAGAAAAAGTGACAAGACTTTATTTTTCAAAATTAAAATATAAATTGCAAATTAGCAAAAATAGTCAAACTTTTAAAATGTTAATAACTATGGTTTGTATTTTCCTCATTCGATATTGTTCAAATCCTCTTAGATCAATCATTTCTGAATGGAATAGGATACAAAAGCGTATAATATTGATAAGCATTTTTTAATAGTTCTACTACCTCTTACATTTTAATTGTTTATTTGACTTGAATCTGTTTGTGTTAAAAATCCTCTAAATGGAATTCGAAAAATTGTCCATCATTTATTCTAAAACTTGAAAGTGTCAGAATGTTTCATTTCGTTGGTAAATCAGATTCAATAGTGAAACGTTTTGTGTTTAATAATAAAATCACTTACCAGCTCTGTAAAAACGTCAAAATTTGAACATTAACTTGCTGATATTTGCGTAAAACCTTTTCAGTTTCACTATGTGTATTGAAGGAATTCATCAAAACCAAGGGAATACTAGTTCCGTATTCATTGTTTAGTCTCTAAAACGGAGGTAATATAAAAGTGTTCACGTTGATCGCTAGTGGGACTTTCTATGAATTAAGATGCGAAAGCATTTCTCAGACAACGATACGTAGTAAACTCAGAAATAAGTAGCTAACTCAATTTTAAAAACAAATTACAATTTGCAACAAACAGGTAGCTATGTATTAAAACTGCTTTCTTCCAATGGTATTATTTCAGCTCAAAGATAACCCAAACATCAATAATACAAGCTGACTGAGATTTTCAGCTACTCTTACCATGATCAGTCGAAAGTACTTGTAATATGATATTCCAGTAGTTTAGAATTATCCGGGTTATGTTAAAAATGTAATTGGCTATTATAAAATATTTTGAGAAAAAATTCAATAATTCTAACTTTATTGAAGTACTTTTTATTTTCTAGAAATTTTCATTATTCAGAAAAGTTAGAACTAGACTTGGGTATAATAACTTTCCATTCTTTTGGCTTCTTTATTGATAATCTCATCCAGATATGCTGATGTTGACTCTTGTAACTTGAACATGTAGAAAAATAGTGTCCGGCTGTATGTTGCTTATATTTAGTTTGTCATAAACCTAACTTGTTACTTGTTTGGTAATTAACAGCGCTCTTGGTTCTTGGTTTGTAAATTGGCGAAATAAAAGACTTAAAGCTTGAGAACAAATATAATCGTACACTTATCATGATTAACAATTTGTATTATTGAGCTTGAATATTTTAAAATATTTGATACAATTTTATTACTAATAAATCTGACTAAAGCAATAAGATGAATACATTTTTTGGGGTTTTTGTTCAGTTGCATATGATTTTATGTCCCATATAAATTCAAGTAAACATAATAACAGCAATAAGTATTGAACAACTTTTCTATTCTTTTAGCTCACCTCGATTTGTTGTACAGTCAAGTCAAGAAAAGTAAGATTACTCCGGACAGAAATTAAGGATTTGGGTCCAGTACAACCCATTGTTGTACCCAAGCCACCATTTAGTTTCACTACTACTAACTTATTTAACTGTTGACGGATTACTTCACGGTTGGTAGGAACTTGAAGGGCATCGTACATTTTAATCTAGATATTGAAAAATGTGGGAATTAAAAAACACTTTAATAACATACAAACGTTTAGACGCTAAACAAGTAATAAGTTAGATTGTTTTCTAAAGTAAAGGATGGTAAAAATGAGTAAATTTCATATGGTGAAAAAAAACAATTGTGCGACCGAAAACTCAAAATTACCACATCTTGATGGTAATTTTACTTCGTAAACTTTGGTAAATACGATAGATACATCCATTAACAATGATAATCGATTTAGAAATACAGAACATTTCGGAGTAAGATTTCGTAATTATAAGCTGACGGAAATGTATAACCAGTTTATTTTTAGGTTTTTGAAGCTGTCTAGACATTGATTATCTTTCAATAAGTTATGGATTCTAGCTTTATCCCATTTGCATCGGTTAAGCAACTCATAGTCTTTATAGACATAGTACAATGAGCTTGACGCTTTGTGCTGTTTGTATTTCATCAGTTACTTAGTAGACTACTGAGAGCCTAATTAAAGTTAAAAATCACTTTTCCTCCAATGTGAATACTCGTGGATTCATGATTACTGAGGTAGGTGCTAGATGATCATGAGAATTACTAGTTACTTCATAAAATTTGACCGCTTCTGTTCATCATACTGGTACCTTTAAATAAACGTTCTTAATCGTAAGCTGCGCCGCTCATATATACCACTAAACCAATTTTATACTTTTGTGTTTCGGTAAGATTTATCATATTTGGTGTGTCACTTTAGTGAGATGATATTGTTTCACCAAATGTTTAACGGTCAGTAATGGTTAACTGGTTTAATCACTTCTATAACCCACAACGTTTCACTTAAGCTTTAGATATGCATCAGAACTAGTTAAAATAGAGCCTCAATAGATGAAACAATGAATATTTACAAATTTCTTGTGACCAGTAGTATTTCAGAAAACTTACAACTGTGGTAGAAATTTTGTAATTTTTAGTCGACTGATACATTTACTTCCAAGGCAGAGCAAGAATAACAGGATTCACAGAATAAGGTGAACTCGTTTTAATCCGAATTTTCTTATTATAATCAAATAACCTAAAACTGCAGACATTAATATCACTATGAACATAATTATTGACTAGGGTACGTAGAACTGCATTTATGATAATATTACTATTTGTAACTTCAGGTACTTTGCACCTAGGGAGAAAACTAGAAGCGAAATTCGTTCGCTTCATTCTATAAATTTGAATACTCATTCTCGGTCCAAACTAATCAAAGAAATTTGTGTAGGGTTTTGACAAAATGTATTAAAGATAAGCAACCATGACTAAACCATATTTAGACCAAAGTATTAAATATAGTGAAAATTTTCAAAAGTACGTATAACACTGTTATCAGGTCAAGAACAGTTTTTCCCAACTCTACAAACTTAACGTATGTAAAATTTAATGAATTATGTTGAAAAGTTGTGAAACTCCAGGAAGAGCTGAAAGATGAAAAACAAGAGAAACACCGTCTTACACTTTCAGATGGAACAGGTTCCATCATATTCCAATCGAATTTTTGTGTTTTGTCATGTAAATATTGCTTAAACAACTCTTTGAAAGATATCATTTGGTTTATGAAGACGTCTTTTTCTGGAGATGAATTTGGTATAGTATTAACAAGCAAATCCAAATCCGCTGCCAAGGCTTTCTCAGCATCCTTGAGTGTTAGTTCCTTGAAAAGACTAGAAGTCTAAAACGCATCAAAATGACAGTAAATACAAATTTTCAGAACAGTCAAGATCATAAACACTACAATTAAACACATGGACATGACAAACAATACACTGGAATAATGTAACGTCTAGACATCCCGTGTTGAACAACATGGGCTTTAGTTATTACAAAATCCTCATACAGCATATACGAAGTGAAAATTAACAATATTATTTTTGTTTCAAACTCCCAAAAGTAGGTAGTCACGGAGATATCTTCCTTCAAAATAAGAAAGAAACGAACAAATAAAGGATGTTTCGAACATCTATTTGCAATTGTTGTTTTTTGGAAGACAAAAATCCTTAATTTTGTATGATTCAGGTATCAGTTTCTAGAAAAATCACATTCTTTATCACTTAAAAGCCGTCCATATGCCTATAAATACCAATGAATTTATTTTTGTTGCTCAACGATGTTTTCATCTCGCAGCATGACAGGAAAGCATTTCATGACATCGCAAAAGAAATAATCTTTAAGACGCAGAAACCAACTCCACTTACATCAGACGGCATCTTAACAATCTTTTAAAATGAGTACTAGGTCAGACGTTCATTATATGACAATATTCAAACACCTGTTGTGAATAACTCCCCATTAATTCATTTTCAGTAGATGAAATTTAATGGCAAGTTAAAAGACTGATTCCGAATTGGAGCGTCTCTCCAAGTTGGTCCCGTGGATCAACTGCGTGACTGAGTAACTACGTAATGTAATCACCATTCATTAACCAATATGGAAACATTAGGGTCTTTTTCAATTACTGACTGGATGCCAGCCAAATATGCCACATCTTTGCTTTACAATGGTAAAGAAATTAATGTATATTGTCAGAGTTCACTTTACTCAAAAGTCTGCTTGGAACCTCATCAAATATATGCTCAAGAGTACAATGATAAGATACTGAAGAGTGTTTAGGTGTCAAATATGAGTCAAATAAACCACAGAGTATCACTTATGAGCACAGTCAATCATATTCCTTTCTTCACTAAAATGAATTTGATCACGTTTTGGTCTCTCATCTGGGTAGTTTTGTCATGGAGCATTCATCGTTTGGTCTTTCAATCACGATGGGTAGTTGCTGCAAGTTAAATCAACCAAATTCTGTTTCCGTAAAGTCAAAGCATCTGTATAGCGGTGAAGTAACTGACACGGTGACGCTAGGCTACAAGCATAGGAATATATTAAATCCTAGTACTTGGCAAAAACCAGGAGACAGCTTGAATTATAGGCTTTCGGGCCGTGTATATGCTACTGCTCCGAAATTACTGCATCTGACTTCTAAAGTTTTGTAGCCCTCTTAGTGGCAATAAAATAGTCCGGACGTTGTAGACCAACCATCTAAAACGGTTCCATTCTTCTGTTTTTTTAGATTTATTACTTGGTGAAATATTAAAACATATATTGTGCATCCCTTGATCTGTTTACTAGTGTTTGGATGGGTCTCGTTGTCTCATGTTGATTCTAAAATTATTCTCCCAGATATACATATACCACATATGGTGGTTCGTCGTGTAGATAGGCTGATTTTAGCCTATCAAGACTTATCGTGTAGCGTCTGGTACCATACCAAGTCCGACCAGCTTATTCACTATTCCCAAGCCATATTTCGACCTTGTTACTCATTTGCTTATTATCCTTGACTTTTTATATGATCGAATGTGTGTTGATTGCTTACGTTATTCATTACGTGTCTTTAATTTATTTTCGTTTGAATGAAAATATTGAGTCATGCTTCATCACGACGAGTTGGTTCACTCGCCGTATTCTCTGCACCTCACCTCGTCTGGTTTCACTTCGCTTCCCGCACTTTGTTTCTCAGACTGTCCATTCAAATCAATGAGTGTACAAACTATATTCTAGTATTTGTCCATTTCGTTCTGCTATTCCCTAACATAAATTAAATCGATAAAAGTATGCGAGGGTTGGCGACAACAATCAGCATATTATCTGACTGCAGTCAGATACAGGGCCACTAAAATTAAGTCTGTGTTTGCAGGTGTTCATTTAACAAATATTTCGGTTTTCGTCAAACTAAAGTGGATAAATCTTTAAACGGACGTCTAAGAAGTACGTTATAGTGGTCCAGTAGATTGATGGTGATATGCCGAAGAACGTGTCCCTTGAGCTCCCGAAAATCCCAAACAAAACCTTGTATGACTCATATTACTTTCCTCTATAAGTTTTCACTGTGACAGGTTCATCAAAAGTGGCTACTCAGATCTCAATTAAAGTTGGACGCCAATACATCTGATCTGAATATGATACTCTTTAAGACGCACATATGCGTTCATGTCAAAATTTTCAGTACTTTTGTGTCCTCTCCCTTACAAAAACGAGACGGGCGATGAGGACAAATATGAGAAGTATTGTGCAATTAATTCTATTTATGGCTTTATTAAAATATGAGGAGATTGACTTCGCCACCCTATGCTATTCTCGTTATGACACAAAAGAATAAAAGGCAGCTTGATGGTAGTTTATGACATATTATGCATCTTGGGTCACCATGGCCGAAATTATTACCTAGAACCCACTCTCCCATCCCACGAGGCAATCCCCGATTGATCCCATATGAAATGGTAAGAAAGTTTGTAGAATTATGGTCTACTATGATATTAGTACTGCTCTAATAATAGACCTAATCCTAAAATTGTAGATTTGTCATAATATAACTGCCTAATCTATAAGATCTTACGCGGAAGTCATACCATCGAATACACCAACTCACTGTATCGTATCAATTACTAATATATGATGTAGAACAAGGTTAGATTAGAGAAGGAACAATATATTTAATATAAATAGAAGATATAAGATAACATTCAACAAGGACCACGCCTGCATGGCCGAGCCATGCCATCCGATCTACTCTCATTCATTCAATTCCTTGTTCGCGCCTTCTCCATCGTTAGGTATTTCTCCGTGTTAAATAATGAATATCTATTTTCCGAGCAATCTCGTATTCAGTTATGAAGATTGTATGGTTATTGTCTAATGCCACTACAAAGTCACACTTTCTCACCATAGTCTAGTCTGACGCATATCTCTCAATGCATAAATGATCACTGTGTTAATAGTTTTAGTTATTGTTCCTACACATTATCCCCTCGACTTCGCTTCCCGTTATCCCCGCCCAACTGACTATACTTACGTTTTAGTTCATTGGTTTTTTTACCTAATTAATTTCCCTAATTCTCTTGAGAATCATATTTTGGTCGCTTCATTCCATTTCAGCATTATAATTTCCATACTGCTACCTACAAGTCTTGTGACTCATAAAGTAATAGCTACTGGTTTCGTGAGCCTAAATGCCCTTGAACAAACAACTTCACTTAAACAGATGATGTACTGACCCGTAAATAATTGTCAAGTTTACCAAGTTCAGTCAGTTGGCTAACCCAATTTCATTGGATACTACCAAACATCTGGAAGCATTACATAGCACCAATAAACTGGTGCGCAGAAATCATCTGGTTGACTTTAGGTTAGACTTTATCGCATTAAAAAGGTACTATCAGGTGTGACTAACAAAGAGAGGATATACGGGTATTTTTAACAAGCTGTGAATATTTTGGCACGGACTCATGATAAGGACAGATATGCATATCAAAATAAGTTGTCCGGCAGGTTCTAGAACACAAACATGCTTATTGACGTCCGACAATGATAGCTTTTTTTGACTTAAAAACAGCATTTGACTCCGTAAATCGCGAGATTCTGTGGCAGTGTCTGTCATTAAAAGGCCTGCCTCAGAAGTACATGAACCTTGTGAAGACTCTTTACTCGAACACTACTAGTCGAGTCAGAGCTTATGGCAAACTGTCATCTGATTTTGCAACCTCATGTGGTGTCCGTCAAGGTTGTTCACTATCTCTGTTCCTGCTTAATTTCATCATAGACTTACTGCTGGGAAAAACGTTGTCGTCGTTTGAACTTTCAGGACTTGATCTCCATCCAGGAGGCCCACTTATTGACTTAGAATACGTAGATGGCATGGTCCTGTTTGGTGAAAACGCTGACAAAAATCCGATGTAGACTTAAAGGCGAGGATTGACAAAACAACGACCACAGTCATACAAATGAAGGACATATGGAGCTCAAATCAATTGTCAACCAATATCAAAGTCAGAATCTTCAATACAAACGTCAAGACAGAGCTGAAACGTGGAGAACATCTACAAACATCATTTAGGAGGTACAAGTATTTATAAATTGTTGTCTGAGCAAGATATTCAACATTAATTGACTGGATACCATCAGCAACACCATTCTGTGGGAGAAGACAAACGAACTTCCAGCTGAAGAGGAAATTAGGAAAAGAAGTTGGGAGGGGATAGGATATACATTACGGAAATAATCAAAATGCATCACGAGGCAGTCCCTAACTTGGAATCCTGAAGGGAAGTAGGAAAGAGGAAGGCCAAAGAACACATTACTTCGGGAAATACAGGGATGAATAACAGCCGGAAAAAGGTGGAAAGGATTGCCTGGGACAGGGTTGGATGGAGAGTGCTGATGGACGACCTATGTTCCTCCATGAGGAGTAACAGGTATAAGTAATTGAGCGAATGTTGAAATTATCCCATAGAATAAATGCGTAGCCTGATCTACTCAGTCCTGGCAGTCAAGCTGTCCTCTTTTTTTAGCGTCCAGTAGTGTTATGGTGGGTCTGTAACAACATAGGTTGAATAGTTAAGAGTTAATCCCAAACAACTAAGTATATGTCAAAAAAATAAGGCTCCAGTATTCATTCACTTCCCTTTTTGTATAAGCATTGTATTTACTATTATCTTATACTGAACACTGAAAGGCGTTGTGTGCTTTGTCTGCTCCGCTGTGACTGTCTCATGAGCTAAATGATGACCTATTCACTACTAATGTGGTTTCTTCTATCAATAAAACGAGGGTTACCTTCCGGCACGAAAGGTCAACTGAGATTCAACTTTTTGATCACCGGAAATCTCGCAATAATTACTGAATGTGATTGGCCGAGGCGTAAACAGATGAATATGAGTAAATGCATACCCCTTTAAATCTGTTTAACCCGGTAAAACGTCTTTCTTTATGATCAAAGTTCTCATCCAACAGCTGTTTTAGAGAACTTGTATGGGGAGTTTGTATTTAAGTACTAATTTTGGACACCGCTTATCACAAAAAAGAAATCGGATCCAACATAAAGGCTGCCTGCATTCATGAGCTCAAACTAAACTAACACAAAGATAGGTTATGGCAGGGCAGTAGTAATAGTTTGCCATGTGATATCTCGATAAAACATTTAAGGGTTAATTATTATTCTTTCAAAGTAAGTATGAATCCAGATTGATGGAGAATTTAGTCAAGGTTCGATTTTATTTCACTGGTCCTTTAACCTAAACGGGATGGTTCCAAAAAGAGTCTTACCTTAATAACGAATCTCCTGA